TTGAGCATCGGGATTTTAACTATGTAAAACAAAATCCCATTAGAAAATCCGCAATTAGTGATGATCACTATTAACCCCTACTTTAACATGTATAAAAAAATTTTTTTATTCAATTACGATGATTGTTACCAAATTTGGACTTGTCCACCATATTTGAATAAAAGTCTTACGTACAGTACGTACGTACGTACGTACGTAACTTTTAAGTAAACAATAGCACGATGCCCAAATCATTTCATGAAGACTTAGTTGCAGACCTTACAAGGCTATATGAAACCAAAGAACGTTATGACATAATTATTAATGTTGGAGAAGAACCAAATGTTGAAAAAATTTACGCCCATTCTGCACTTCTTTGCATTAGATCACCTTATTTTCATACTGCATTATCTAATAAGTGGGCTAAAGAAGAAGATGGATATTTGGTTTTATCAAAACCTAATATAAGAGCATTTATTTTTAAGATTGTTCTTGAGTAAGCAATGTATTGAAATTTCATAGCAACGATTTTTAGGATTCTAATTCTATTTTGTAATATGTTTAAATAGGTTTTTGTATTGTGGAACAGCGGATTTGGAAAGCCTAGAAATCGAAATAATATTTGAGCTTCTACTTGCTGCAGATGAACTTTTAATTCAAAAATTTACTGCTTATATTCAAGAATTTTTAACTGAAAATAGCTATAAATTCTTAGAACAAAGTCTCATGAAAGTGCTTTGTTTTATTGTACATAATAAATTCGATGAACTTAATGATGCTTATGTGGAGACCATTTGTGAAAATCCAGATTTACTATTTGATTCAGAGGAGTTCCTTTCATTGGAGGGAGAGGCACTAAAATTGATTCTTAAATGTGACAATCTCGATAAAGAAGAAAGTGTTATCTGGAAACAACTAGTTAAATGGGGACTTGCACAATGTAAAACGCTTAAAAATAGCATGATGTGTGACGACACTAAGAATGACGGCAGTGATAGATTAGAAGATAAAACGCTTGAAAATAGCATGATGTGTGACAACACTAAGAATGAAGGCAGTGATAGATTAGAAGATAAAACGCTTGAAAATAGCATGATGTGTGGCGACACTAAGAATGAAGACAGTGATAGATTAGAAGATAAAATGCTTGAAAATAGCATGATGTGTGGCGACGCTAAGAATGAAGACAGTGATAGATTAGAAGAAGTATTACAAGAATTAATTAAATTAATTAGATTTTATCAAATTGATCCTAAGGAATTCATTCCAGAAGTATGGAAATATAAACACCTTCTTCCCGATAAAATAGTTGAGGATATACTACATTGTCATTTAGACCCAGATACGAAACCAAAATACAACAAATTTCCGATTAGATGGGGAAACTTTAAAGTTGACTCAATGTTAATTGATAAGGAGATTGCATTATTATTGACGAATTGGATAGATAAAAAAACTATAGATGACGAAGAATCAAAAGGATTTCAATATCATTTTAATCTTCTTTTCCGAAATAGTTTAGACGGTTGTTGTCATTCGTATTCTAAATTTCATCAAAAATGTGATAATAAAGGAAAAACAATTGTCATAGCGAAAGTTACAGATGATAGTGATGGGAATTGGGTTTATGGTGGTTACAATCCACTTGATTGGAATGGGAATGATGTATGGAAACCAACAACAGAAAGCTTCTTATTTATATTAAATAAAGATGACCTCAGAGGAGGAATTATATCATACGTTAATGATAGTAGCCATGCAATTTATTGTAATAGTGATTGTGGACCAAGTTTTGGGGAAGGCCCTGATTTTCGTATTTCAAATGATGGCAGTAATGTTACTTATGGTGTAAAATCCTATCACAACGAGTTGATTTTAGATAACAATAATATAACTCCAAAACTTGAAATCACAGATTATGAAGTCTTTCAAGTAGTTAGCAACATTTCTACCCAAGGTTGATTACAATATAACCGCATAATAAACCAATTAAAGGAAATGCATGTATCAGTATGCATAATCTAAATTTGAATAATTAACCTAAAGTTGTATTTTTGTATATTTAGTACCGTGTTTTCCGAAATAATGTACAGTGGTGTAATTAGGGATGGGACACTGCGCAGACATTTTAGAAAGACTGCGCAGTATAATTTTTATAATTCTGGCCGGCTATTATAATTCTGGTCAGTTTACATTATGCTTGCTTAAATAATTTTTTTATATGTATCAATTTAGTACTTTGCAAACAAATACCTGGATTGGACTTTTTTTGTTACTCAGTCATAAGTATATAATTTCAATTTGGGTATTTGTTGTAATATTAAATATGTAATACATATGTATACATACAGTATATACATATGTATATACATATTTAACATGTACTACTGGAGAACGTCTTTGAAATTTTCTATAGTTAGTAAGTAGTATCACAGCTTTATGTTTATAAATAAATTTTACGATTTAAATTTTTATTTTGCGAACTTAAATTTTTAAGATGCCACATAAAATCTGAAATCATTTTACAAAGCTTGAACAAACTAAAAATTATAAACAGCCACGTGTTAAATGTAATTATTGTGGAAATGAATGTAATGATAATGTTAATAGATGTGAAGGACATTTAAAAGTATGTGAAAAAGTGGATCCAACAATTGGACAACAATATTTTGATTTAATTTTAAAATAATCAAGCAACAAATATATTTAATGAATTTTTATAAAGTAATTACCTTAAATTTTTATTTTTAAAAAATTAATTCTAATTAAAATTATATAATGCAGGCTGATATGTAGCTTGTTTACATAAAACAGCAAATTAAAGTTCTTTATCCATGCCTCGAATTTTTGTTAAGTAGCTTTTTTTTGCTTGAGTTCTTTTTTCTGTTTTATTAAATCTATAAAAATACTATCAATTAAAACCTCTCTATCTTTCTTAACTTTTTTTTCTTGCTGTTTCTTTAGTTTTATATTCTTCTTTTTAAGTTATTAAGAATTCTTCTATTAAATTGTCTATATTGTTTGGCTAGTATAGCTATTTAGACCCAATTCTTAAGTTTTGCATTTGTTCTATGATTTTATTTATATTTTTAATAGGTTTTCTTCTTCTTCTTGTCATCTTTTTTTTGAACTCATTGCTTGCTTTACCTCAAAATAGGTTTTCATTTTTATTTTATCTATTTTGCTTTTTTTTAAATTTTTTTTTTTACTTATATTTGTTATATATTCTATAGATACTAGGTTGTTTTTTGCTGTCTTGGCTTGTTCTGCCTATTTCTTAATTACATTTTCATATATTTGATTATTTAATAAAACTTTATAGCCTATCATTTTATCTAGATTTTTTATTATTAAATCTTTAACCAGATAGTCTATACTATCTGTTTCTGTTAGTATATATATTTGAAGAATTTTTACTAACTTAATATTATTTATATACTTGAGTATTTTTTTATTTGCTTTGCTTATATAGGTTAAAAGCCTGTTTATAACCAGATTTACTATTTTAGTCTCTATTTTTTTTTAAGTTTTTAGAGTTATTTATCTGTTTACTTAATAAATATATGAATAATTACTAATTTGTTGTTAATGTCTATTTGTATTTTTTAAAAAATATATGACTAGTTTGTTTGTTTATTATTTTGATAATTTTTCATTCTGTTAAATTTATAGGATCTAGAATAAAATTCTAATTTCTTTAAAATTTTTGTAAAAAAACTTGCAAAAAGGTTTTTTTAGTATTATTTATATCTAAGTTCTTGAAAGAAGAAACTTGTTGTATTTTTGTATACTAGATTTTTTTTAATATTATAAATTTATTTTTTATGCTATTTATTAAGATATCTTCTGTTTTTGTTTTATCAAATTTTTAAGCTTAAGTGAGCTAGTTTAAGTCAAGTAAACAAATTTTATAAAATATAGAGATAAGATAGTTTAGCTTAACTCAAAAAGCCAAGCTAAAGCTGTTCAATCTGGTTTTAACTAAGTCAGCTTAATCATATAATTATATAAATATTATATAATTTATAAATATAGTAAGCTTTATTTTTAATTAGCTAATTTTCATATAGACAGATTTGATTCCATTCAAAATTCAATTTTATCACATACAATGATCAAAATATAATTATTAACCAATCAAAAAATATAAATGTGATATTTGTGTGATATATTGATCACTAATTAATCAAATTAATAAAAAAATTTAATATTGATATAAATAAATAATAAATGATATATAGTGTCATAGTGAAAACCAGTATGCAGGTAATTAGTGCATAGGGTAGTTTTGAATTGATAGATCATCATGTGATTATATAATGATCAACCAGAATCAAAATCAGATATTGATCATTCAAAAAAACAATATACAGGATTAATATGCAGTGTACGAATAATATCATAATAGAGTTCATAGACAATGGTATAATTAGTAATGAATAATTAAATGTCAAAATAGCGTAATCAATAATTAAGTAATTTAGAGATAATAAAATTTGTATTTAAAGGCACAAGCAAAATAAAGTTAATTAATAATTATTATTACCTGCAAAAAATATAGATCATCAAAAGTAAATAAGTAAAATACTTACCCAGTTGAAGAAAGCAAAGTATCAAGGTTGTTGATAGTTAGAGAAATATCTACTTTTAAGCTAGATTGTTAGTAACAAGAAAGTTCTATTAACTCACGACACAAGAACCTAGGCAAATTATTTAGTAACTCACCAAACATAAAAGAGATTTTATTGAGTTAGTAAAGGCAGAAAATGGAATAACATACAAGCAAAAAACAAAGTGATAGCCTATGTACCTAGTTGAATAATGTGAAAGACGAAAGTATCCTGAATATTGAGAACTATTATAAGGATCCCAGAGTTAAGCCATTTAAAAAAAAAATAAAAAAATAAAAAAATTTTTTTAATATTCACTGCTAAACATTATAAGCAATAAATTGACTGTATATACCAGCATAGGGGACTTTCTCACTTTTCAGAAAAACACAGGCTTTGTCATATGATAATTAACCAATCAGAAGCTACTTTATTAACATATGATCAAACTAGATGGATAATCGTTAAACTAAGGCAGCCAATCAACAGGCATTACTCGTATATTACGATTTTATTCATAGTTTAATTTTGAAGTAAAATCATTTGCGTTGTGAAGAAATCAGACCATTTATCCACATTATAACAGCAATTTTATAATTGTAAAAACTCATTTAAAAGATTTTTAATACAAGTTACGCGTCCTTCAATAGTTTTTCTTAAAATCTTGCATAATTAATGAAATTATACTATCGTATATATTAAATTATTCTACTATGTCAAATATTTTTTAAGAAGCATGTATAACTTAAAGAAAGTCTGCATAAAAGTTTGTAAATAAAAATTAACAAGTTAATAATTGAAATAATAAAGAAAAAAATTGAAAAAACAATGTTAAACTTTGCAAATTAAGCAGTACAATCTACTCTTCTTACCTTTTACTATACGGTAGATAGTACTTCAACTATTAAGAGATCTACCTTGTATAGCATGATGCAACATGATGCAACTTGGTTTCTTGACAAGACGTTCGTTATGAAGGTATTTTATTAGTAAAGTATTAGATGTTTAGTTTTTTTTTTAGTTCACTTATACCTGAAAATTCTGGTTTTACACTACTATCCTATATAAATACTTGTGTAATATCGATTCCAGAAATCATCAGATTTGAATATCCCCTATGCTGTATATACCTGGTTGCTTATTATATTGCCTTTATCTGCTAGTATCAAAAAAACCTAATGTCAAAAGTATAGAACTATACTATGAAAGCAGAGATACAATAGTGATGGTGAACTTCTTTGGGAGTATAAAGCCTATACCAAAAATAGAGGATAGAACAATAATAGAAAATCAGTATATATTGTGTTATATGTAGCAAAAAGTGAGTTGATATAGATAAAACAAGCAATTAAATATACAAAAACATGGATTGAATTACAGCAAAGGTTATTTGATATAGTGAGTTATGTTGATATGATGAACAATCAGATAGAATATGAGGATTGCAGATTAAAAGATGTTGAGCAAGTTGATAATAATGAAATAAATAAAAGAGTAACAAATATAATTAGTAAAATGAATGATAGAAAGAAACAGACAAAAGAAATAAAATTTGCAAATATACCTAACTCAAATAAGTATAAAGAATCTATTATTTACTATAAATTTGTGAAGATCAAAGATTTCGCTAAAATGTATAGCATTGGACAATATTACCAAAATAAAATGATCATTGAAAAAGATGGACAAAAATCTGAAGTACTTGTTTGCAATCTATTTGAATAGTATTTGGATGTTGATAAAAATAAGGTGATAAAGAATAGAATGAATAGTAATAAATAGAAAACAGATAATAAAGAGGAACAGGCAATTAATAAACAAGTTGTGAAGTGAAGATTAGCAAAATTGAAAGAAAAAATGTAAAAGTTAGTTCAGTAAATGATAATAAAAGAGGTGATAAGAAATCTGAAGACTTATTTGAACAAAATTATAAAGCAAACGATCCTGAAAATTGCCATAGAAATAAAATAGGTGATTCTAAATTTGGTGAAAAATGTGAGATGATCTTTAAAGTGAGAGATATGTCTATAGATCAATTGAATCAGGTATTAGTGTTAATTAGAATATTAAAACCTGTGGACTATGCAGAAGGTTTTGTAAGGTTAAATAGTTTGAGTTGTCAACATAAAGATGCCAAAGCTGGAATGTTAAGTACCCTGAAGCTTTATAGTGACAAAG